TGAAATAAGAATACAAGGAGAGTTAATTGAGCAAGTGGATGAGTTCGTATATTTGGGCTGCGTATTTAGCAGGGATGGGAGATATGATAAGGATATTGAACGACGAGTGAATGCAGGAAATAAAGTAAATGGGGCTCTACACTCTATTGTGAAAAGTCAGAATTTGTCAAAAAAAGGCACGTATGGCAATTCACAGTGCTGTATTAGTCCCTACTTTAACGTATGGTAGTGAAAGTTGGGTGTGGCAGAAGAAGCACGAGAGTAGAATAAATGCAGTAGAAATGCGGTCGCTAAGGAGTATGTTAGGGCTGAATCTGAGTGACAGTGTGAGAAACTGTGTGATAAAAGAAGAGTGTGGTTTGCAAGATGATGCGGTGACCAGGATTCAGAAAGGAATGCTTCGGTGGTTTGATCATGTAGAAAGAATGAATGCGGAAAGACTGACACAGCAAATATATGCAGAAGTGAATGGAAGAGTCGGAAAGGGACGTCCTAGGTGGAAGTGTGTCGACCAAATTGGCGATATACTAAAAATGGGCCAAATTAAGTGTACCCTTAACCGACGAGCATGTATGCCTAGGTATATGGATTAGGAAAGGTATGTCAGGATCGTGCTAAATGGAAGTCTGTAATCTCTGCCTACCCCTCTGGGTGACAGGCGTGAGTGTTTATGTTATGTTATGTTAAATATAAGGGCTCTGTGGTCAGACAGTGTAACGAATTCTGGGTTCACTTTCCAGTTTAAGATTTTTCGCAAGAGATTACTAGAGCATGCAGTGACGTCAACTATATTTGTATAGTTTCTCTCTCTTCTATATACGGGAAAAGTTGGCGTATTCCCTGTATTCAGTATGTGTAAACCTAGTTGACCTAGTGCTTCTGCCATAGCTACTCCCCTCTTATCCTCCACATTGCAGTCCCACCAGGGGCTCATCGCATTGATGTCTCCTCCGAATATGATATAATCTTCATTTAGGATGCTTGCAAAGATCGAAATTTTGCACACATCGTCATCAATCTGTTATCCGTCTTCCAAGTAAATGTAAATTATTACAATATTAAGGCCTTTAATCTTAAATTTACATGCTACGATGTTCGCAGTAAATGTTACCGGATTGATAAAAAAGTTTATTGTTGGATCGACGACAATGACGGCCGCTTTGACTGGTCTTTGAACATCATTCGAAATTTTCTGTATTACCCTATGTTGGAAGGTAACGTGACTTTTTATCCCAACGTAAGGCTCCTGTAATAAAAGAATGGAAATGCCCTGCATGGCCGCTGATTGCAGACATTCTTGAAAGGCAGCTCGTCTTCTTCCATGGTTTATCTGGTTTTTTTATCTTCACGCACAATCCCTAACGGGGTAGCCAGAGAGAACAGATCGCCAAGTGTCACGATCCTTACATACCTCTTTCGCTTCTTTCAGGTTCATTAACTTCTTCGTACATGCACGTCTAGGTATCCGAGTACTCTTGACCTTCCCCTCTTCGAGCAATTTGCTCACATGGTCTTCGAAAGTTAGTCTCGGTCTACCTCGACACCTTTTAATATTTACTTTCGCTCTATATATTTTCTTCACCATTCGGTCTTCACTCATTCGCTCAACGTGCCCAAACCATTAGAGTACGCCCCTATCAATTTTTGTGATAAGGTCATCTTTCAATCCTGCCATATTTCGAATCTCTTCGTTTCGCTTTCGATCGGCTATGGTAACGCCACACATTTTACGAAGAGATCGCATCTCCACTGCATTCAACTTGCTTTTATGCTTCTTCTGGCATACCCACGTTTCGCTGCCATATAACAAAGTCGGTACCAACACTGCGTTATGTATTGCAAGGCGTGCACTCTTCACCACGCCTTGCCTTTTGATTAATGCATTCAGGGCACCATTGACTTTGTTTCCGGCAGCGACGCGCCTATCCACATCTAAATCACATCTTCCATCCCGGCTGAAAGCACTCCCCAAGTACACAATTTCATTTACCTGTTCTAGACGTTCCTGATTTACCCATATTTCACATTTCGTTCTCTCTTCGTCCTTTTCAAATACCAGAACCTTAGGTTTATTAGCATTCAAACGGAGACCTTTAATTTCACATTCCTCTTTCATACACGTGACTAATGCCTGCAGTTCTCCTTCTGATGGTGCAATAAGCACTGCATCATCAGCACACAACAGACAATTTACTTTAATGTCACCCAATTTCACACCCAAACAGCTATTTATCAGCTTCTGTAAACAGCTGTCGAGATACAGTATGAACAGCCAGGAAGACATGACATAACCCTGTTTTACGCCCGCTTGGACGCTAAACATGGGTGACAGGTCATGCCCTACCCGCACACAGGCTTTACAGTCATAGTAAAGTGACTGCACAGCCCTTAGCAATCGACCATCCACACCATATCCCGGCAACAGTTCCCACATTTTCTTCCTTATAACCTTATCAAATGCTTTCTCCAGATCCACAAAAGCACAGAAAATCCTCTGGTTAACACTCAGAAGCTTTTCCGTGACCATGCGGAGAGAAAACATTTGATCCGTGCATCCTCTTCCAGGTCTAAATCCGCATTGTGCCTCCCATAAGAATCTCCGATTTCTCTTGCATCCTACGTGTCAAAACCTTCGAGTAAACTTTACTTGCTAAACTGGTCAAGCTGATCGCCCGATAGCACCCGCAGTCAAAATGTGAACCTTTACCTTTATATAAAGGCACAATGACCGCGGATCGCCAATCATCCGGAACATCTCCCGTCCGCCGGCACAAGTTGCACAGCAGACGAAAGCTGTCCCAGACGCGAGGCCCACCGTACTTGACCATTTCAGCAGTAACTCTGTCTAGTCCCGCAGCCTTACCACATTTCAAACTTCGAATCGCACGTTCAATCTCTTTCATGCTGATGACCTCAGTGTCATCGAGGTCCGTGTCTGGCGTGCCAGTCATGGCGTTACCCCCGGATCCTTCACTAAGATCATGACACGCATACATTTCTCTATAAAATTCACTCCATCGCTGCATGACGTCCGATTTTTCTGAGAGGACGTCATTGGTTCTCGAAAGCACTTTGTTCATTCTTAAGGCTGTCGCACCACTCCGGGACCTTCCAACCTCTTTCCAGAAGAGTTCGGAGTTTTCCTTAAAGTTGTGCGACAACCTCTCGTCCGCTTCTATTCTACACCTTTCACGTACTTCCTCAATCAATGTTTTCGCATGAACTTTCTGCAGCTTATATCTTTCTTTCATCTTCTCTCTCATATGCTTATCGTTACTAGAGGCCAAGTAGTCTAACCATGCTTTTTTCTTCTTTTTTTACAGCTTCTCTCACTTCATCATTCCACCATGCATCTCTTCTTTTACTACTACCTCTTTTTGTCGTTCCACATACTTCTTCCGCTGCACTTACCATTCCATCCCTAAGGTTCTGCCATGTTCTCTCCACACATTCTTTCCTGCCATCGATGGTGTCAAGCTTTTCGGCTACCCTCGTGTGATATTTGTCCCTAGTATCCGCTTCCTGAAGCTTCCAGCTTCGGATGCGACGGACCGACTGTGGTTCTGTTACTGCCGTCCAGTAGCGCCAACCCGCGAACAAACCCCTAAATCTAGTAATTACTAGATAGTGATCCGTTCCCAGGTCAGCACCCCTGAACACTCGTGTATCCATCACCTGTTTTCGCAGTCGGTCATCCACCAGGAACAAATCAATCATACTTCTCTCATTCTTTCTTTCTCTAGTGTACATATGGATTTTCCTGTGATTAAACATAGTGTTTGTCACAAGGAGACCCTTTTCCTTGCATACAGCCAGTATAAGTTTGCCGGCATCATTAACCCTTTTATCGCCAAACTTTCCAAGCACCGACTCGTATCCTGGTCGAGCGATACCTACCCATCCATTTAAATCACCACATACAACAGTTCTTTCGTTTCCCTTAACCAAATCTAGAACTTCTCTTACATTCTCCCAAAACTCCTCCAGCTCAGCCCTGGACGACGAAGATACCGGCGCATAAACAGCCAAAAGGAATAACTTCGTCAGTCCCAGTTTAAAGCGAACCCAGAGAAGTCTTGAGTTCACAACCTTGTATTCAGTCATAAGATCGACCAACCGGGACGACAACAGCATCCCCACTCCCTGGCAGGCGTTCTCGCTTTCCGGGACTCCGGACCATATAGCTAACGTCCCGCCAGGGAGCTCTTCAGTACCACTGCCTTTCCGTTTGGTCTCCGACATACACACGACATCTAATTCTCTTTCTTTCATTATTTCGATCAACTCATTCGTCTTATCTCTCATGCCCCCTCTAACATTCCACGTGCCAACTCTGCACTTCGTCCTCCACCTTCCGCCGTGTTGGGCTGTCGTGACGGGTGGCGGTCCCCATCGCCGCTTTGCGCGCTGCATTCCACACCAACGAGGACGAGCTGGTGTGCGTCGCCTTGGGGGGACGCCCTAACTCCCGTTTGCATGGGTGCGCAGCTGTGTAGAATTGCTGTAGAAGCTGTATAGAATTGTAGGTTTATCTGGGCTATTTTTATTCCTGCATCCCTCGTGCTTGTTGGCTCTTACGGGAAAATGTCGGTGTCTTAAGCAATACGATACAGTTGCTCTTGCAATCGTTTCCACCAATCTGTCTGTATATGCAATTTATACACTTTGGTGCATTGATCCTATTATTGCAATCTCTTGTTTCGTGTTCCTCGGCACAGTAACCACAGCTCACTTTTTGTGCTTTACATTCTCGTGCTAAGTGAGAATATCCTAAGCATCGGTAGTACTGGATTACCGGTGATTGGTCAGTGGCTGGAACTATTAAAATTTAAAAAAATTAAAAAGCTTTGTCCAGATTTGTGGGCTTACTTCCAAGATGATATTACACGTGGAGCTTGTTGCGACCCTTAGTTCTTCTCATAACCTTCGCCTCTTTCTGTGCTGCCGTAATATTGTTTAGAAGCATGGTGTTCTGTTTTATTATAGCTTCTTCGATCTTTTTATTTGTCATGTCGAAGACAACTCCCGTAAGACGCAAGAGCTGGTTTTTTGATGACTGGTCTGTACACTGTTAAGTTGTCAGTTGTGCGTTTGAGTCTGTCTTGGAGAGTGTTTCTATCTCCTTCAGACTCGCAACCAATTACAACATTTTGGTTCTTGGCTTTCTTAATATGGTTGATGCCAAAACCCAATTCAACTACATCAATTCCACCCTTAACTTGCTTCATGATATCATCGCTCTTACTTTTGGGGTCAATAGATTCCACTATGATTAGAAAGTTTGGCTTTGCTACCACCTCCGAGAATATACGTGGAAGCTTTTTAGCAAAGCTTTTTTAGAAGCGTTGCGGCATTAGTGAGTGCTGAGTTGATTCTATGTCATTTTTCTACATCAATTTAAATTGTACACTTCTTGGGTCTGTCTCTTAGACATGTGATTTATGTTTAAGATCACTTAAAAGGCCCTCTATTGCCAGCCTGATAGGTGCTGTCGAGTCCACTGCACTGTCTTTCAACTCCTTTATTTCCCTCCTCAGTTATTCCAAGCTAGCTTATACCGAGGGGAGTGTGGAGCTCGAGGCAACCGAGGATATGCTTGGGATCTCTAGAGATATTCTACTTACTTCTTGTTTCAACTCAGATATTACTGAGATTAACAGAAGTTTGGCGTCTGTGATCTCCTGTTGCAATCTCTCGGCAGCAATATTTGCATCATCTACGTTCGCTGGGATATTGGCAGATAATTCAGATCGTTCTCTATTGGTGTATATCTCCTGTAGGATGCGCTGGAACTCTTTGAGTTCATCGTGAGGTAATTTCATTGATCTTGTGATGTAGCAGGTGATTTTCTAAGTGAGCTCATATAATCTTGAAATGACTTTACCTCTTCAGAGATAATCTGCAGCTGACTTGCCAGGTTTGAACCAAAACTTCTCTCGCTTCGAAAGTTTGTTATTTCTTCCTTAGTTGCTGAAACTGCCTCACAAAGATCGTATGAGACAATAAGTCTGGTTGACTCAGTTTACTTCTGGAGATTATTTATGTTCTCTTTTAATGATGCATATTGACCCAGAGTTTCATGCATGAACCGGGCATGTCTTTGGGTGAGCCTTTCTGATTATATAGAGACATTCGCTTTATGCTTACTAGATTCGAGAATGTGTAGCATGCGCGAGTCGGACAACTTGAGGATCATTTCGTACGATGTGTATAGACCCGCAACTACACTCTCGCGAATTTCCCTTTTTAAATTGCCTGACTTTTCTAAGTCTGCTTTGGCTCTTTGTAAGATTTCATTGACGTGTCTGGGCAACTCATTCATTAGCGTACGGCTGCCCCCAATCCGCTATCATTCCGCTTTGGGATTAGGAGTACCGGAAAAGACGCGTTAAAATTGGTGTCAACTCCGAGGCACACGTCTTTAGTACAATGGGAGGGACTTCAACAGGCCTACTCGACTTGCTGACGTCCAGGGACGGGAGTGCTTAGCAAACCGAGCGCTGTGTGAGCTGCACATCAATCATGGAACGCTCACACCACGGCATGGTCGGCGATGTGTTCCTCCCGTCATCGAGAGTCCAGTTGGACGCAAAAATAGAGCCTAAGAGATTGGATTTCCCCTTTGCGACATGGGCCAGTGAGTCGTCTTCTCTATGCAGAGATGGTAGAGATAGCTGAAAAAAGTTCCTTTGTGGATGGAATTAGACTTCAAGAAAAAGCACTATTGGAAAGACACTGTTGTTTCAGAGACACATTCCGAGATTTGATGCATCAGCCCAAGCTTGGTAGCACTCCTACTGCTATTTTACAGGAGTCGTCAAACTATGGCCGGGATCTGCCTCCGATTGGCACCATAAATGATGGATTAAAAAGTTCCATACCCTAAAGTACCACATCAGCGACAAAATCAGCAACAACGCTAGGATCGTCCGGCGAGAAGCAAACCAGGGTAGGATGTAAAAAAGACCGCATCCCATCCCAATCGGCCGAACTATAGTGCCGATCATGGCAGTAGCCTGCAGAATGCAACGGCGACGATGGTGTGAATGGCACCTTACTCCTAATAAAACAATGGTCCGACGAGCCTAGAAGGGCATTGATGGAAAACTGACATCCGTTAGGGTGAGAGGTCAGCAGAAGGTCCAACAAGGAAGGTTCCCCACATCTGGAACCCGCGTAGGCCAAGTAACCAGCTATGTAAGACCACATACCAAGGCAAATTCATAAACAGATTTCCCCGCATGATTGGTTAAACGTGAGTTAAACCATTCGGTGTGGTGGGCGTTAGAATCGCCAAGGATCACGATCTCTGCGGATGGAATCTGCTGTAGTAAGGAACCTGTAGCTTTTTGGAAGTGGCCGATGAGTCGGTCTGTTTCAGCATTACCGCTATGGGACCTACAAATGCACCCGTTGTCGCGGGGATGTGTCCCATAACATGGGCAGGTCCAACCTTCAAGACTGCTGAGGCGTCGGAAACAGATGTCCTCTCTAACGTATTCGCAAATTCCAGCCCGGGACATAAAAGAATGTTCTAATTTGTACCCTGGGTAAGAGAGTATCAGCCGGAGTGGACACTTAACTCTTGGGTAAAAAGAGCAAGGCTTGCTTCGTTTTCTCCAGAAGGTTGGAATGAAGTCCCTTGATGTTGCAAAAATCTTCTTCTTCCAGCACGTCTTACCAGGTCGACACTCCATCTAAGGGTGCTCCCCTTAGATCCGTCTACCGATACGAATCTGCCACGTGAGAACCTTTCTTTGGTTCGGTTTACTAATCCTTTAGGCTATGCCGGTTACTCTGGTATCCTCTTTTTTTAGTCTTTCATGCAGAGAAACCCCGAGTATAGCCCCCTCCTTAGCTCACTGAGCGATACTGAGATCCATTAGTCATCATTGGCAACACGCATTGGGTGTACAATCTTGTTCTCAAGTAATAATGTTTGAAGGTGTCAATTAAAGACGTGTTGCTTCTTCTATAGTAGAATAAGGGATAATCTATTTATAGTCTAATTAGACTATCTCTTATTCTACACATAATACTAATATATATGGTCGGGGTTAAGGAGGAGGGCTAACATGACACTACTCCTCCCACTGACAAAAAATGAATACCTTGTACACCCATACACTTATTTTATTTCAAAAAATACCTTATTGACAATATAGTTTTTACTAACATTTTCTTCTCAGTAATTTAGATATTTAGTTACTTAACCTCTTAACCTAGCGGTCTCATGACACCGCGGCCATATTCCGTCAAATCCTTAGCGGTCTCATAAGGTCGCACCCACCCACAGCACTTTAACCCATAAAAACTTATATATAGAGACTACTTTTCTATGAAGAAGTTTGGCATTATATAATCAATATGAAATACTCTATCCTCTAGTGCAATAAAAAAGCTGTTATCCTATGAATATTTATTTATAATCTACGTTTATTTCATACGCCATTTTCGCGTGAATGTTATTGTGTTGATTTTTGGATTTTTCTAGTGTTTTATTAGTGTTTTAGTTAGAGATGTGCCAAACATGGATTTCACCGAATACGAATATTCGGCCGAAAGTTCAGTAAAACTTTTACCGAACCGAATATTCGGCCGAACATTATTCGGCAGGATCACCTCGGTCCCTAACCAATTTATTTTGAAACTTATTACCGTAAATCACGCGGGATTAGCGCCGGACCCTGCCCCTCGCTCCCCCGCCACACCTGACATGTTATTGCATCATCTAGTACTGAGAAAATTGCCGGCACATGTTTTGACTATTTTTGTGAGAAAAACGTATTTCGTTGTGTTATCCTTAGTGAAAATTGATGATTATAATATGATAAAAATAAGTGGCAGGAGATATGAACTGAGGACCAAAATAAAGTGAAATGTACTAATGTAATGTTTCTTTGTTTGATTCAAAAAACATTTTATCAAGCTTTCTATTTGCTGTAATTGGAAATAAATCTACAGTGCATCAAAACATACCGCTATACAAGTAGATTTAACCCATAATAAAATATACTTTCAACAGTAAAATTATGAAAGACGTGGCATTACTCAATTCGTACATTTCAATACAGTGGACAATTTGAGTACCACATTAACGAATGTTCGGTAATTTAGCTGAATATTCGTCTGAATACGAATATTCGGTAAAGCTGCCGAGTACCGAATATAAAACGAATATTCGGCCTATCTCTAGTTTTAGTATAGTGTTTTATTTTAAAATTGTAATTAAAGTTTTTGTGTGAATATAATTTGTCTTTTTACGTAAATAATGTCGAGTAAATATATTGAAATAATTGTGATTTTCACGCTGCTGACATTCGCTTGGTATGTTTTTTTTGTTATCAAAATACAATAAAATCTTTTAGTAATGAAGTAAAACCTGACTTTTGTTTAAACCACAAGATAGAGAATTTTGTATAGATTTTATAATGCCAAACTTCTTCTTAGAAAAGTAGTCTCTAAGTATAAGTTTTAATGGTTTTATTTGCTGCGGGTGGGTGCGGTCGCTCGCAAGCGACCGCTCGCGATTTGCCGGGCGCACGCGACTTCATGGGATTTCTATGGCGCTTGAAGAGTTAAATAATGTTGTCATTATACCGCTTACGAAGTCTGGACAATAATAATATTTAATAATTTTTTATTTTCATACCTTTTCACTTTTCTATATTTTATTTCATTTTTTTGATTCATATATTATTTACGTCATTTTTTCATGTAAACGGCTAGCGAACATACATGATTAAGGATATGGCCAATGTATACAGTCCTTTAGGTACATTTTTCTCATTTAAAACAAATCATAAATAAACTAATAAAATCTCTTAAGTTTTTTCCGTAAAACAATAATTTCTAAATATTACTAATCTTCTAATTTGCGGATTTCATTCTATTAAATTAAAGATTTGCTTACTGCATTTCATATTTTAATATTAAGATATACAGAATAAAGAAGTCTATGTATATATATTGAGAGTTGAGAAGGGACGCCCTATACGAAAGCGTATCGACCAAATTGGCAATATGTTGAAGATGGGCCGGATAAAGACTACCCTCGACGAGAATGTATGAGTAGGTACTATATGGATGTGTAGGAGGCGAGAGAGTTGTGTCAAGATCGTGCCAAATGTAAGTCCGTACAATATCCTATGCGTGACAAGTGTGAATGTTAATGGTTTTGTAAACAAAAATATGTACAATCTTAGTCTATTTTAACCAACTAAATGCTCCCAAAAAAAATAGTCAATTTCAAGTAACGGCCGGTTTACATTATCTTATGCTTGAGAGAGTACTCGTTAATAAATGGTACTCGAATGTGATTTCTTTAATGACACTTGAAAAAAAATTACTATTCTAGAATAGTTCTACTAAAACAACGTTTACACGTTTTTATTAATGTACTTTTCAAAACCATCTACTAAAGGCTTAAATAATGTAAGCCGGCCATAATATTAAACTTAATTATCTTACAAAATTTTTACTAGCAATATTTTAACTATTGTAACTTTAACTACATAAAATATAAAATATTAGTATGTTATGGACAATATACACAAAATGTACATCAAAAAATGAATGTATGTAATGAATATAAAAATGAATACACCACATTAAACTCCTATATTTTTCGCATGGTAATAACTACAATTTTATTGTAATGTATATATGTATGAATTAATCATTACATTATATAAGTACATAATGATAAGAAAAAAATACTTATAAAAAGTATAATTTTTAAATACGAACTGACTTCGAGGAACTAAAATGATCCATATAATGGTTTCTGAAGTTAGTGCTAATTCAATGCATTATAAAATTA